CCCAGTGCTGGGGTACCAGGCCTGTGCTCCCCTCCTGCCTGCTTCCCTAGTGCTGGGGTACCAGGCCTGTGCTCCCCTGTTTCAGTCTTAAGTCTCCAGTGTGCTTTGACACAATCCATGTCTATGCCTGCTTTTGTTTTTCTGAATTTCTTTGCTTTCTTAGTGGTGTGTTTTTGTTGTTTGTTTGTTCCTTATTTAACTTGTTTGTTTTCAGCGTTGGCTTGTTTTGTTTTGTTTTGAATTTTGCTTTTTTTTAAGGAAGCCGCTTAGACTCGGTCAGCCTCCGTGAACTTCCATGTGGTTAGAGCAGCCATTCTGAGGCCACTGGGCTTCGCTTAGTGTTTTACGCTTTTCCTAGAGACAGCGCTGAAAATGGAAAAATTGCTTTATGTCCTGGGGTCCTTTGACATGCTGTCTGTCCTTCTGTCTCACTGGTGTTACTGGTTCTTGGTCTCCTTTACCGATGTTATTCTGTCTGCACACGTACACCTGCTTACGTGAGGATGTTACAGGCTAGGCTCTCGTATGGGGGAGACCATGTTCTCTCCTGTTTTGAGTTTGGATCACCTCTATGGTTTATTTCTCATGTTCATCCACTTTCCTGCACATTTCATGATTTCATTATAGGAGGCTGGAGAGATGGCTCAGTGGTTTATTAGAGCACTGGCTGCTCTTCCAGAGGTCCTGAGTTCAAGTCCCAGCAACCACATGGAGCCTCACAACTGTCTGTAACTCCACTTCCAAGGGACCTGACACCCTCACAGACATGCATGCAGCAGTACATGGACGTGCATAGAAATAAATCTTAAGCCGGGCAGCGGTGGCACACGCCTTTAATCCCAGCACTTGGGAGGCAGAGGCAGGTGGATTTCTGAGTTCGAGGCCAGCCTGGTCTACAGAGTGAGTTCCAGGACAGCCAGGGAAACCCTGGCTACACAGAGAAACCCTGTCTCGAAAAACCAAAAAAAAAAAAAAAAAGAAAGAAAAAGAAAACCCTCCTGACTTCATTTATCTTTACAGCAGAGTGATACTCCATTTTGTATGTAACTGCATTTTCATCATCTGTTCATCTGTTGGTGGACACCTAGCAAGGTTCCTGTCCTTGCTATCTAAATAAAGTAGCAACGAACATGCATGTGTAAATAAGACTGTGGCAGGATAGGAGTCCTTTGGGTGTGCCCAGAAGTAAAATAGCTGTAACCTATGGTAAGTCTATTTTTAACCATTTGAGGACCCTCCAAACTGATTTCCACAATGGTTATGTTAATTTGTACTTTGACTACCAGTGAACCAGACTACCCTTTTCCCCACATCCTCTCTAACATTTGTTGCGAGGTTTTTAAAAGATATATATATACACACACACACACACACACATACACACACATACATACACATACATACATACATATTTTTTTTTAAGTTGGGCAGCTGTGGGCATACCTTTAATCCCAGCACTCAGGAGGCAGGGGCAAAGACTGGTGAGTTTGAGGCTAGCCTGGTCTACAAAGTCAGTTCCAGGAGAGCCAGGGCTCCCCAGAGAAATCCGGTCTCAAAAAATCAAAAATACAAAAGAATTTATTTTCATTTTGTGCGTGTGAATGTTTGCCTGACAGGATATAGATGTACCATATTTGTGCTTGGTGTCCACAGAAGCCAAAGAGGGCATTGGATTTCCTAAAACTGGTGTTACAGGTGGTTATGAGCCATCATGCGGGTGCTGGGAATCGAACCCAGGTCGTCTGAAAAGCAGTCAGTGCTCTTAACCACTGAGCTGTCTCTCTAGCCTAGCCTATGACTTCATTGTTGTTTTTTTAAAGACAGGGTCTTGCTGTCTAGCCTTGGCTGGCCACTACATCTCCTAATAATTGGCCTTCTGACTGGGGTGAGGAAGTGTCTCAGAGCAGTTTAAATTTGTGTATCCCTGAGATCAGGGATGTTGAACACTTAAAAATAGTTCTTGGTCATTTGTGTTTCTTATTTTGAAAAGTCTCTGTTCATTAGTCCATTTATTGATTGATAGGTTTTTGCTTTAGTTTTTGTTTTTTTTATGTGTGTGTGTGTGTGTGTGTGTGTGTGTGTGTGTGTGTAGACAGGGTTTCTCTGTATAGGTCTTGCTGTCCTGGAACTCACACTGTAGACCAGGCTGGCCTCAAACCACAGAGATCCTACCTGCCTCTGCCACCAGAGTGCTAAGATTAAAGGCTTTTGATTTTTTTTTTTTTTTTTTTTTTGATATTTGATCACAGCTTTGTTTCCCAGTCTGGTCTGAGAATCTTGGAGTTACACACCTTTACTACCTGTCGCTATTGTTTGTAGTCATCAGGGTAGAAGAGTCATTCTTCCCTCTGCTGCACTGGGGCTCCCCCACTCGACTCCTGAGGCAAGTTTTCACTGTTCCAGAAGCCCCCTCTTCCAACACTGACGTGTCTTGATATGTTCCGCCAACAGTATCCTTTCTGTTGTTGCGAACACAGCACCCAGACCCTGCAAACGGAGTTCCGTTCATGGTTTCCAAGCCTACAGTTACAATTTCCACCTGTGTCCTCTTCCCCTTGCCCTTCCTTCCTCTGCCAGATTATTTGACTCGACTTCCTCTTAAATGAATTTGTTTGCAACACTGGTTGGAGTATAAGTCAAGTGAATAGATTTGGCAAGTCACCACAGTGCTTCCTTGATCCCGAGAAAAGGGAGCAGATGGAAAAAGACAGACTTGAGGACAGAAGTATTTAAAAGTTCCAGGCCAGGGAAAAAGAGCGTTGGCCAATGAGCCCTGTCACACGGTTACAGATAGCACGCTGCCCTAGAAGATACAGCCAATCCAGAGAACACCCTAACCACCTTCAAACTGAGTCCTCAAGGAAGAGTGAGACCATGAGAAACTGAACTCTTGAGGGTGACTGTTCCTCTTCCCAGAGGGGCTGGAACTGTTGGTGTATATGTCTGTGTCATGGGCTGAGCTGAGCTGGAGTCTGGGGCAGAGAGAGGCACAGCCTCGTGATAGAGCGTGTGTATAGCATGTATGAGCATAAGTTCAAGCCCCGGCTGTAGGGAAATCCTTTTCTGCTGCGCAGATATCTTTTCATGCCTCCATGTGCCAAGCTCTGTCTAGGTCTCCGCTCCTGCCATCTCCTTTTCTTAGGAGCAGGATGCTCAGAACAGGAAGGTAGAGTTGATGGTCCGACAGGATCCTCAGCAAAGGCGCCTTTGCTGAGACTGTAAGAGAGTCACGGCCTCAGGGCTGCACACTTCGAGAACAGCCGCAGCCCAGGCCAAGGATGTCGGCGGTGCTGATTCGGCCAGCTGCTGCTTGTCAAACCCGGAAAGTCTGACCTTTCAAAATGAAAAAGAGCGAACAGACTGCCAAAGAAGTTGTGTAACGAGATGTGCGTCTGTCACAGAATGCTCTGGCTTTCCTCAGTTTGTGGCGACTTAGAACATGCTGGATTTCAGCCACAGTTTTCATAAAAAGAAGGAAATGTCCCCGATGTTCCTAAATAATTTGAGCATCTCTCAAGGACAGTGTGTGGGTTCGATTAAAATTACGTGGAACACTTGGTTACACTGTGTTCGGGCTGAAGGAATGGTTCAGAGGTTAAGAGCTCTTCCTGCTCCTCCAGAGGACAGAGTTTTGTTCCCCACACCTACATTGGCCTCACAGTCACCTTAATTCCAGCTCCAGGGATCTGACTCCCTCTTCTGACCTCTGTGGGCATCTGCACACCTGTGGCATACATACAAACACACATGTAAATGTATGTGAGTACACGGTAGCTGTCTTCAGACACACCAGAAGAGGGCATCAGATCCCATTACAGATGGTTGTGAGCCACCATGTGGTTGCTGGGATTTGAACTCAGGACCTCTGGAAGTGCAGTCAGTGCTCTTAACCACTGAGCCATCTCTCCAGTCCCTGTTTTTGTTTTTCAAGACAGGGTTTCCTTGTGTAGCTCTGGCTGTCTTGAAACTCGCTCTGTAGACCAGGCTGGCCTCCAACCAAGAGACCCACCTGCCTCTGCCTCCAGAGTGCTGGGATTAAATGTGTACGCCACCACTACCGAGCATGTACAAGTTTTTGCCTGCAAGTGCATAAGTGCACTGAGTGCTGCCTGGCGCCCTGGGAGCCCAGCAGAGGGCGCCAGACCCCCAGGAACTGAGCCCAGCAGAGAACCTGCAGTGACCGGTTTCCTTTATCCAGCCCTAGATCTTGTGAGAATTAGGCTTGGACAGCTGTGCTCACAGCCGCTGGGTGTGAGGTTTGCCTTTGGTAACGGTCTCTGCCTTCGTTCTTGTTTCCTGCTTAGCGAAGGACACAGACATTGTGGACGAAGCCATCTATTTCTTCAAGGCCAACGTCTTCTTCAAGAACTATGAGATTAAGGTAACTTCCGTCAAACGGGGATAAAAATCTACCCGGAAGTCAGGGTTGCTGTGTGGGCTGAATGACGGGGGTGACCGTAGAATTGGAGAAGAGAGCCTGAGGAGATGGTGTGTCAGTTTCCTGTCCTTCCTTCCCTCCCTCCTTCTCCCCTCCCTCCCTCCCTCCTTCCCTCCCTCCTTCCTTCCTTGCTTTCTTGCTTTTTTTATTTCAGATTATTTATTGTAGGCTAGGCATGGCAGCACACACCTTTAATCCCGGCACTCAGGAAGCAGAGGCAGGTAGATCTCTGTGAGTTTGAGGCCAGCCTGTTCTACAGAGGTGTAGTTATAGGATAGCCAGGGCTAAACAGAGAAATCTTGTCTTAAAAAAAAAAATCAAACACAATTGAAAAAAATTGTGTGCGTGTGTGTGTGTGCGCGCATGAGCGTGTGTGTGTGTGTGTGTGTGTGGCGCGTGTGTGTGCATTCCATGTATGTTCGGTGCCCTTAGGGGCCAGAAGAGGGAGTTAAATCCCCTGTAACTCAAGTTAGAAATGACTACAAGCTACCACGTGTGTTCTGGGACAAACCCAGGTCCACTGCAAAAGCAATCCCTCTGAACTGCTGAGCCCTCACCTCACCCCTCCATTCGTTTTTTCTTCTTTCCCTTCTAAACGCTTTACTGCTGTGCACCCCAACCGACGCACTGCCTGTTTTTGAAAATAAACTTCACTGGAGCACACCCATGCCCGTTGGTTTATGTGTTCGCTGTGTCTGTTTTCACACTGAATGGTGTCTGACCAGTCATAACTGGTTCTTAGCCACACAGCCTAAACAGCTTATTATCCAGCCTGGTCAGGGTTTGCCAAGCCCCAGTCTAGACACATCTGTGTGTCTTCAGTATTGGTTAACCATCCATGACGTACCAGACCCACGTTCATGGAGAACCGGTCAGAAGTCTCACAGGCTGCTTGTTTGATTTGAGACAGGATTTTGCTATTATCCCTGGCTGGAATTTGTCAGGTTGGCAGAGCTGTTCTGGAACTTAGGGTGATCCTCCTGCCTCAGCCTCCCATTACTTTTTCAGATACAGGTTAGACATTGAAAATAAACTACTGTCTTCTCAGCACTTGGGAAACTGAGGCAGGAGAATTGTTGTGAGTTACATGCTGAAGTTGTGTTTCAGAAAAATATAAACACTGACCTCCCTCCCCCACTCTGAAGACAGACAAGCCTGAGATACTTTAGAGTCCTAAACTTCAAACTGAATTTTAGAGTGTTTCTGATTCAGGGCATTTAACTGATGAAGTCTGTGCAGATATCCCCAAGTCCAGACTACTCAGGCATCAGGACCACTTCTGGTTCCAAGCGTTTCAGGTGGTCTACCACACTGCTGTGCTATGGGCCTGGGATGGAGGTGAGGGAAACCTGAGTGCCCTGGTCCTTCCTGGGACCTCTTCCTTCTTCTGAGGAGGATGACCAGGGGGAGATAGAGGGCCTGGCTGTAAAGGGGACAGATGGTACGAGACAAACATCTCCCGAGCTACTATGGTGAGACAGGCAAGGAATATTCTTGATAGTGCTGTAAACTGTGTGGCTTCACCTTCTGCTCCACTCTGGGATCAGGGTCCATCAGGGTGTGGCTCTATCCAGCTCGGAGCTGCGTTTCTGTAACCAACAGCCAGCCTGTGCCGTGTTTGTGAGAGGTATGACAGGGACAGGCTAGATGCAGGCTCGCCTGTAAGGAGCCAGAGGCTTGAAGATTGTCCAAGAATGAGAGGCCACCCAGGGCTGTGGAGCAGAGAGCGGAGGCACATGTGACCTTTTTCTGACTGTACCTGTAAAACTGGGGTACAGGTGACACGGGAACTGTGACCTGCTGTCTTCAGTCCCTCCAGTCGGTGGAGATGTTGGGCCAGAACTCTCCCAGAACGCGTCACGTGCAGTGGCTTCCTCCACTGCCAAGGACAGGATGTGTCTGTTCTCAGAGACACTCAAGGGAAAAAGGTTTTCTTTAAATGTGGTCACCCCAGCTCTCCAGTCTCCACCTTACACGGCGCGAGGAAGGGGCTGTTGGCCAGGGCAGCCACAGGCCGGGTTTGGGGAAACCGAGCACCCTGTGGATGGATGCTAGGGGATAACGGGGACAGAGGTGCTCTGAAGAGTCCACTTCACGTGGTTGTTGTGTTGTTTCTTCTCCCTTGTAGAATGAAGCGGACAGGACCTTGATCTACATCACACTCTACATTTCTGAATGTCTAAAGAAACTCCAGAAGGTAATGAGCCTCGGCTTTTCACACACCAGAACAACAGAGAGAGACAGTCCACCCAGGTCTGCCAAGACCTGAGAACAAGCAAAAGGTCTCTCTGTTGTGGATCTATGAATATCCCATAGGGAACTGACACGGTCAAACTGTAATATAACTTCGTATATGTGCCCTCTTAAAGGATGGCATGTATTAACAAGTCATGAGAAATTAGTACCCAATAAGTGTTCTTGGCTGTGTATAGACATTTTAGTCCCAGCTGGTTCCAGAGCTGTCTCTATATAAGAGACATAAGCATCACCATATATACATCACCTGTTTAGTTGGTCGTGTTAGTCTCCCTTTTCTCCTTCTGTGTCGCCAAGGTCTTCAGGAGGTCTCCCTTTGTCATGTCTGATTTTTATCAACTTGGAAGGAACCCACAGCTTTTCTTTTCCTGTGGAAACATAGGCATAACCTCTCCCCCAGTGTAACCCATTTCCCACTTTCCATTCTAACGTGTAATCTATCTTTGGGGGTTCTTGTTGATCCCTTTCGCCTGTTAAGCGTCTCTTTTAGAGTTCAATTAGATCTCTGCACAATCGCTTTTCCTGTAGGATTGTGTGATATGCCTGTAACATGTTTTATATTATAATATTATAATGTGCAGAAAATTCTTCATCTTCTTAGAGATATATGCCGGACCGTTGTCCGTTTTAATTTGTATGGGTATTCCCATACTGGCCATGACTTCTAACATACGTGTAATTACAGAATCAGCTTTTTCTGGCGCTAAGGCAGTTGCCCATTGGAATCCTGAATACGTGTTTATAGTATGGTGCACATATTTCAGTTCACCAAACTCTGTAAAGTAAAAGTCATCCATTTGCCAAATGTCATTTCTTTGGGTACCCTTAAGGTTAGTGGAGTTTGGTTATATAATGAAGAAGTAGGACATTGCCTCACAATTTTTCTGGCTTGTGGTCGAGTGACAGAGAAGTCTTTCTTTAAACCTTTCCTGTTAACATGGTGTGTTTTATGGAATTCTGATGCCTCTAGCACGCTTCCTATCAATAGCTGGTCGATTTTGTTATTCCCTTGCGCCAGAGGGCCTGGCAGACCTGTGTGGGATCTTACATGTGTTATGTATAGTGGATAAATCCTATTTCTGATCGTTTGTTGTAGTTGAATAAATAGTGAAGTCAATTCAGAATCATCCTGAGTAAGTTTAGCAGTCTCTATGTGCAAAACAACCCTTTCTGCATAGTGAGAGTCAGTTACTGCCGGGCGGTGATGGCGCACGCCTTTAATCCCAGCACTTGGGAGGCAGAGGCAGGCGGATTTCTGAGTTCGAGTGTTTGAGGCCAGCCTGCTCTACAGAGTGAGTTCCAGGACAGCCAGGGCTACGCAGAGAAACCCTGTCTCGAAAAACAAAAACAAAACAAAACAAACAAAAAAACAAAAAAAAAAACAAGGCAATTTCTGCGTTAGTAAAAGGTACAACAGTTTCAGCCGGGTCCATTCCGACTAATTGTCGAAGTCTCATTTTTCTTTTTAGTGTCAATTCAGAGACCTTCTCAATGTAGGTTTTTAATTTCATACTCTGTTTATGTGCTGAAAATATCCATTCTGAGATAGAATCTTCCGTCTGCAGGAGAATTCCTGTAGGAGAATGAGTAGAAGGTAAGTGACTAAGATGCAGGCCGGCTTTGGATCAGTACGGTCTAGGTGTGTGCCCTGCAGTTTCCTTTCTACCAGAGCTAACGCCTCCTCAGCAGTTCAGGAATTACCCTCACGATTTCTTACCAACTGTGTCCTTTGATTTTAGTGCAACTCCAAGAGCCAAGGCGAGAAGGAAATGTACACGCTAGGAATCACCAACTTCCCCATTCCCGGAGAGCCTGGCTTTCCTCTCAACGCCATCTATGCCAAGCCTGCGAGCAAACAGGAGGATGGTGAGAACAGGACTGCGTGCGTGTGTGCGTGCGTGTGTGCATGTGTGTGTGTGTGTGCGCGCTTGCGTACACGCCCCTGCAGCCATCCCATCTCTGTCTTACTCTTGGTGTTGTTTTTTTTTTTTCCCCGTGTTTCTTAGACACAGTCTCTCTCTGTTTAGTCCAGGCTAGTCTTGAACTCATGATCCTCCTGCCGCAGCTCACTAGGTGCTCTGGCATCGTGTCATGTCCAGCTTCTCCAATGCACTTTCTGCCCACCCCTTTTCTTTCCTTGATTGGGATTATGTTCTGTGTGTTTGTTTGTGGCGAGGGCAAGTCAAGTGGCTGTGAATGTACTTGTGGGCAGGTCCATGTCTGTGCGTGTGTGCTCCGAGGCCAGAGGTGGATGTCGGGTCGTTGGTCACTGCCCATGTTGCATATAGGCTCTTTGACTGAACCTGGAGCTCACTGGCTGAGGTAGTGTAACTGGCCAACTTGCTCCCGGGATCCCCTGACTCTGCCTCCTGAGGGCTGGCATTGCAGGCCGGCTACCATGCCCACCCTACTTTTCTGTGGATGCTGAAGATTCTAACTCTGGTTCTTGTGCATGGCAGGCTCTTTCTCCTCTGAAAAATCTCCCCAGTCTGCTGACTGGTGTTCAGATTGACAGTGGGGTGCTCAGACAGTGGGGTGCTTAGCACACGTGTGTTGCCTTACTTTCACAAGAGAGCTTGCTAACAGGTGTAACATGCAGAGACTGTTGAACCAAAATGAATGTAGTTATGAAGCCATTCTGAATCAACAAGGTGGTTCAGCTGGTAAAGGTGCCCGCTGCCAAGCCTGATAGTCTGGGTTTGATTCCTGGGACCGGAATCAACCAAAACACACACACACACACACACAGGAATCAAATACATACACACATACATACACATATACATACACACACAGGAATCAACCTACATACACATACACACACACATACATAGGCATCAACCTGCACACACACACACACACAGGTGAGGGGTGAGAGAGGGATGTAAAAAGAAGACCATCTGGACTGTTCTTTCTTTTCCTAAGCTGTCTGAATGTGTACAGATCCTTTGCCACTGTCGGTGTGTAGACAGGCAGGCCGCGTGTCTGGGATGCCTCCTCACACACAGATCTTGTGTTGCAGAAATGATGCGGGCGTACCTACAGCAGCTGAGGCAAGAGACTGGACTGAGGCTTTGTGAGAAAGTTTTTGACCCTCAGAATGACAAACCCAGCAAGGTGAGGTGCTCCCTACTGCCCCTTTGTGCTCCCTTCTGCCCCTTTAATCAGAGCTCAAGCCTTTGCCCCATTGCCTTTTAAACCACTGAAATCTGCTGTCGAAAGAGCGTTCACTTCTGCCTGACCTGGAAGACGATGGCTAGCGTGGGTCACTGCCTCCGTCTCGGTCATGAGCAGGGTTTATGTATGTGATGTGTTTCCATGGTAGCCATGTAGCCACAGTCTGTGACTGTTGGTGGTCCCTTCTGTGAGATGGCAGGGCATTTGTATGTGACCTGTGTGTATCCTCTGTGGCTTTGAAATGCCCCAGGTTACCCACACCTACAGTACACTATAAATAACATGTAAGTGGTGGCTCTATTGCATCAGGTAGGAAACAGCCCCAGGGAGCAGTCTGTGTGTTCAGTCCGTGCCAGGGCCCCTTGGTTGAGACCCAAGCTGGGCTTGAGCTGGCTGTGTGGCCACAGGTGACCTTAGCCTCCGTCTACCTTGGCCTCTAGTTCTGCAGTACACCGGTGTGCTGTCGTGTCTGCCTCACACGCCTTCCTACCCGTGGGTGGATGTGAGCCTCACGCCTGTGGAGGACCAGGTGGACACGTTTCCCTGCTCTGTGGGGTCACCTTTGAGTTTAATGGGAGGTGCCCGGCTGTTTACACTGTTGTTTGTCATAAATCGACTGGAATGCCGGCCGGTGCCCGCACTTGCACTGTGCCCTGATGCTGAGCATCCTGATGCTGAGCATACGCTCTGTCTTGTCCTTTGACAGTGGTGGACCTGCTTTGTGAAAAGGCAGTTCATGAACAAGAGTCTTTCGGGGCCCGGGCAGTGAGAAGAGGCTGGGCCGCCGCCGCCTGCAGAGCCGTGGGCAGCAGCGTGTGGAGGTGTGCACAGTCCTTCGTGTCCGCCCTAATGTGTCTTGAAGAGAAGAGAGAGCCTGTCTTTGCCGGAAAAGCTCTTGGTCAAGAATTGGGAGGGTGGGTGTCGGGATTTGAATTTTTGGCAGTTTCAGGCTGGTACTTAATATGTAATAAATGTCACTGCTTATGTTAGGCATTGAATTAAAACATTTTTGAGAAAAAATCTACTCAACACTGTATCTTTTATGGGAAAGGGTGGTATATTGAGGGGTGGGGCTTGTTTTTCTATTTATGGTTTGGTTTGGTTTGGTTTGTCTTTTTTGAGGCTGCCTCGCTGTGTAGTCCAGCCTGGCCTGTGGCTCATTTTCTCTGCCAAGCAGGCCTTAAACCTAAGTCCTCCTGCCTTGACTCCCTGTCCTGAGATTGCAAGGTGTCCTCCGCTACGCCAGGTCATTTCAGATAATGAACAGTTTGGTGGTTGTGAGTGTGTATGTACTATGTATGTACAGTTTCACAACCATGACCTGCATCTAATTCTACAACGCTTTTATCACCCCCATAAGATGTGCCTTTAGCAGTGACTTTTCCTCCTTTGCTCCTAAGTCTCCCTACCCCCCAACTTCTGGACTAATCTAATCTACTCTCTGTCTTCATAGCCTCGCTTATTCTAGATATTTCCTATAATGGAGTCTTAGAGCAGATAACTTAGCCTTCCGGTCTGGTTTCTTTCACTTAGCATGTTCCTAAGCCTATCCTGCCACCCCCACCCCCAGCGCCCCATTGCTCATGTAAATGGAATCAAACGAGTTATCCGTTCATATCTGGCTTCTTTCACATAGCACACCTTCTTCAGCATCCACCCATGGTGTCGCATCTGTGCGTAGTCCATTCCTTTTTTATGGTTGAATAATATTCCATTTGGATACAGATCCTGTATTTATTCATCCCTCATCCAGTGGACGTTTGTGTTGCTTCTATCTTGGAGCTCTGACTAAACACTGTTGCCAAGAACAGCCATGTGCACATTTCTAACGTGGACGCAAGTTTTCATTTCTCTATGTGGCTGACAGATGTTAGTGGCTGTGAGACGCTGCGTGGTCTCTATTTCCTAGTACTCTTAGGGTCCGCAGGCATTTCGAAAGTGCCTTTGGTGATGCCCTGCCCTCTCTGTGGTTCCTCTGCCAGGCTAGCTTTTAGAAGGCAGTTGTTACAGTGTCTGTGTTGGGATTATATTTGGCCAAAACTACAGAAAGCCTAGGCTTCTGTGCCCCAGGTTTTGTCTTTTGAGTCTAGAATTTGGCCAAGACGTGGCCACGTGAGGACCTCCTTGGACCTGATGTCTGCCCCACTGTGGGTAGGGTGACGCTCAGGCCCCTCCCCCAGGGGGTGTGGCCTGTGTCTCTGCTCTTGGCAGGAAGTGGGGAAGGGCTCGAGGGGGATGTTGCCCAGAAAAGGAGGACGCTTCTGACCTCCCAGGCTATCTCATTGGTGACCTGCACTTGAGACTGGCCAGAAGGGAGGCCAGAAAGAGCCGTGGTGCTACACCTATCTTTTGTGTTGTGCTGTTGAGGACAAAGGGAAGGCTGGGAAGAACTGGGTTTATTTAAGCTTGATTCAAAACAGTTGGCAATGAGATCTGAAAAGCTGACTGTTTCCAGTTTGGTTTTATTTGTGAATATTTACTTATTTATTGGTTGATGTGTGAACGTTTTTTGTTTGTTTGTTTGTTTGTTTTGCCTGCATGAACATCTGTGCACCATGTCATTGCTGTGCCCAAAGAGACCAGAAGGGGGCACCAGATTCCCTGGAATTGGAGTTACAGCCACTCGTGAGCCACTATGTGGGTGCTGGAAACTGAACCTGTGTCCTCTGTTAACCTTTATAATGCAGTGTAATTGTGACGGCGGGAGTGGGGAGGGTTGGGGAAGGGTACTCTGGCGGGCCCATGCTGAGATGCCCCGTGAACAATCACAACCATACTAGGCCTAGTAAAAAGAAAGTTTATTGGGGGAAGGGAAGGGAACCTGGAGATGGGGTAGAGACAGAGAAAGGGAGAAAAAGAGGCTGGCAGGGAACATGTGAGGAGGGGCAGAGAGAGAAGGGAGAGAGGTTGAGGGGGAGACGTGGGAGGAGGGGAGAGAAAGAGAGAGAGAGAGAGAGAGAGAGAGAGGAGGAGAAAGGAGTGTGGTAATGAGCTGTCTTCTTATACATAGCCTGGCTGGCACCTGGCAGCAGACTTTAATGTAAGCTGTCGCTAGGTAGCTGTTGGGCGGAGCCTAGTGGACTTGTCTGTAAGCTAACTTTCTGGAAGAGCTGCCTTGCTCTTAACTGCAGACCCATTTCTCCAGCTCCTTGTATTTTTTTTATTTTTTATTTTTTTATTTTTTGTGGAGACAGAATTCCAGGTTGGTCTTGAACCTGATTCTGCCTCAAGCACTCCATTGGTGGTATACTCATGAACCACCTCCCTTGCCTTAAAGTACATGTACTTAGTATCTGTTTAGAGACTGGGTCTCAAGTAACTCACACTGACCTGAAACTGTCTACATAGCCGAGGATGACAGTGAACTCCACATCCTCCTGCCTCTACCTCCCAAGTGCTGGGCTCAGAGATGTGTGCCAGCATGCCTGACTGAGTGTATAATTGGAATGCCGGCGCTCCATGCTCTGCCGGAGCTCCATGCTCTGGGGCATATGTGCACTGAGCCACAGACTGGTTAAATACCACTTTCAATGCAGCCTGGCACAGGGCTGTGTCCAGGGCTGGTTGTGGGGCTGAGTAACAGAACTACCACTTAGCATGAATGAGGGTGTGGGTTTAAGTCCAGTGTGACGGAGGAGGGGGAGGAGGAAGAGGAGGAGGAAGAAGAGGAGGAGGAGGAAGAAGAAAAAAGGAGATGGAGAAGAAGAGGAGGAAGAAGAAGAAAAGGAGGAAGAAGAGGAGGAGGAGGAGGAGGAAAAGAATCTACGTAGCTATATTAAAATACACACCTTAAAACAAAGGGTGTTGTTCTTGGGTCATTTGTGGGAGTTTTGTCTTGTTTTTTTTCCAATTTTTTACTTGAGGCTCAGTGGTCCAGAGCACTTACCGCTCTTGCAGAGGCCGTGGATTTGGTTCCCAGCATCCACATGGTGGCTCACAATCGCCTGTAACTCCAGTTACAGAGGATCCAATGTCCTCCATGGGTCCTCCAGTCAACTGATGCACATGGACTCATGCAGACACACACACATACAGCTGGGCCTGGTGCCACAGGCCTTTAATCCCAGCACTCCCAAGGCAGAGGCAGGGGCATCGAAGTTCCAGGTCAGTCTGGGATGCATGAAACCTTTGTTCAAAATAAATAAATCTTAAATTCTTAAAGTCAGATTCTGTGGCCCTGGAGAGATGGTTCACTGGTTTAAGAGCTGATTTGTGGTTTAGGGGCTGAAATTTTTATTTTACAGACTCAGTGACATGTTGAAAAGGAAGCCTCTTTTTGTTTTGTTTTTTCGAGACAGGGTTTCTCTGTGTAGCCCTGGCTGTCCTGGAACTCACTCTGTAGACCAGGCCAGCCTCAAACTCAGAAATCAGCCTGCCTCTGCCTCCCAAGTGCTGGGATTAAAGGCGTGTACCACCACCGCCTGGTCCAGTGATGAATCTTGAGATCAAAAGTTTGCTTTTTTACAATTTCCCCACCCTCCTATGGTCCTGATAGAAAAACAACTTTCTGCAGGGCCTGTTACTTTAGTTCTTGTAGGGGGAGAAGGGTGCCAGGAGATGGAGTCCCGTGTGGGACCAAGTTCCAGGACATCCAGGAGAGAGGGGAGTTGGGGGGCTGATTGACTGTATCATCCCCCACTCCCTGCCAAAAGAAATAGTTGTTCTCTGGCCTCCATACATGCATGCATGCACCCACCTACACATAAATAACTGTATAAAAATAGCATCATGCCGGGCGGTGGTGGCACACGCCTTTAATCCCAGCACTTGGGAGGCAGAGGCAGGTGGATTTCTGAGTTCGAGGCCAGCCTGGTCTACAGAGTGAGTTCCAGGACAGCCAGAACTACACAGAGAAACCCTATCTCGAAAAACCAAAAAAAAAAGAAAAAAATAGCATCTTCTAACAGTCTCTTAATGCCAGTGCTATGTTTGGATTAGAACTCTATTTTTTATTGGAGACAGGATCTCCCTGTGTAGACTAGGCTGGCCTTGAACTCGGAGCTCTGCCTGCCTCTGCCACGAACTCTGCCAATAGATGACGTCCTGTGTGGGACATGCGGCCTGTACTGGCAAGTGGTAGCTTGATTTTTATTGTTGTTGTTGTTTTGAGATAGGGACTCACTATATAGCCCAGGCTGGCCCCAGACTTTCCATCCCCCTCCCTCAGCCTCACTTAGGAGGCAGAGGCAGTATGCCTGAGTTGAAGGCCAGCCTGGTCTACACAGTGAGTTCCAGGCCATCCTTGTCTACACAGTGAGACCCTGCCTCCAGGAGAAAACAAAATTCTAATCCAAACATAACGCTGACATTAGGAGACCATTAGAAGATGCTATTTTCGTTATTATTATTTATGTGTACGTGGGTGTTGCGGTAATTATTTAAAATGGCCTCAGGTCAAGCTGACTATCTAAGCTGCAGAGGCTCTGCCTAGCTCAGCCGCCACGTTCTATGACCAGAGGCCATGTGCGTGACACAGCTAGAAACAGCCAGCCAGAAACATCAGCCCTGCCACCCATGAGACGCCAGCGAGGGAGATGGCTCTGCCAATCTTCCACGCTGTCTCCGAAAGGCTGGGCATTGCCCAGACCATCCCACCAACCATGTGGGCTCAGTACAAATGAGACTCTAGTGCTTAAAGATTAATCAAAGGCTTTATATGTTTGGCAATGCTTAATAACAATATGGCCATATGAAGAGAATTGTTTCCCAATTATCTAACCTAAATCAAAGTTGTTACCCGCGACTGCTCTCCATACCTGCGTGGTTCTCCATCTGCTCCTACATCTCTGCTCTTCCCAGCTCCTCCTCTTCCTTTTCCTCTTCCTCTCCTTACCCCCCCACCCTAGCTCCTCCTACAGGTGGGTCCATGTAGGGAGGCCAGAGGACAACTGTTTCTTTTGGATAGGGTGGGGGGAGAAATGGAGGTAGAAAGTCTCTCTATGTAGTCCTCCTGGCTCTTCTGGAATTGATTATGTAGACCAGGCTGGCCTTGAACTCACAAAGATCTACTTGCCTCTCACTCCC